TGTTTGCTGGTTCTGTATCAAGACACAAGTAAGACATGACTCCACCTGGTGGCAAAAACATTAAACTTCAGATGACCCCTCCGTCCAAGTATGAAAACAAGAAACACTTGGAGACATTGTGTTCCATAGGACTGAATTACTGCAGTGTAATTTTAATTGTAACAGACACTCTGAGAATGTCAACTTTTTCTCTAGACTTCGAATAGAAAAGGTTAGTTAGCAGAACAGTAATTACACGCAACAGAAGAGCCCCAGGTGCACTCTTGAGTGAATAAAACAACACGAATGTGCTTGGCAAGAAACCTATCGTTCATTTCAGCCAGTGTTCTCTAATGCAAAATCCTGAAGCCTAAATGATACGATTCTTTCCCTAGATGTGTTGGTGTGGAGCAATGATCGAGTTATTCGCTGGATACAAGCAATCGGACTTCGAGAATATGCAAATAATATTCTTGAGAGCGGTGTGCACGGCTCACTGATAGCCCTGGATGAGAACTTCGACTACAGCAGCTTAGCTTTATTATTACAGATCCCTACGCAGAACACCCAGGCAAGTCTCTATCTTGCTGTGGTCTTAATGTATTTTAGTTGATAGAATGACAAACCAAACTTTTAGGGAAAAAACTGGCTGTATGTTCATGATTATTAATGAAATTAGCTCAACCTTTGAAATATGTCACTGGGGTTTTAATTTCAAGCCACTGGGTTTCTAGCCAAAACAAAATCATAAAATTAAATAGGAAAAAAATTAGAGGTTATGTGGGCCAACCTCCCAAAGCAAATTTTGCCAGATTCCCTGAAACAAAATCCCTGACAGATGGGCTCAGTCTCTGCCTCGCCGAGGGACAGTCATTTCTATTTACAGGTCTGAATTATATAGGCACTTAGCATTTGGCATGCCAGTGATTCCCAAATCTGGATAATTACTGGAATCAATACAGTTCCTTACAAATTAAAAATAAAATTTTCAACTTACATCCTACTCCTAGGAAATCAGACATCAAGAGACAGCTCACAGACATCCTGAATGTCTGAAGTTTCTCCCAATGATAATAATAGGTTTGAGAGGTATCTACATAGGTCTGATGAAAAAAAATTCGCAGTCCAACTTCACTTAATTAATTTTGCTTTCACATATTTCAAATTTATATAAAATACTGAATTGGAATAGCAAAACAAAATGAAGTCAAACCTCTTCGCCTCAGACTTTTAGGTGGGGTTATCCCTCTCCTGTCCACAGACAAAAGAGAATTTGTAATAGCTAAAATTTTTAACGAATTGTGGAAATAAAGGACTAAAAATCTTAAGAGCCCATAAATAAAACATGCTTTTTAATGCATTCTGAGATAAATATAATTTGTATGATTTTTAAAAAAAAATAAAATGCGATTTCAGTGATGGTAACTGTAATTTGATGTTTCAGGCAAGGCAGATTCTTGAAAGAGAATACAATAACCTCTTGGCCTTGGGAACTGAGCGGCGACTGGATGAAGTAAGTCCTCACACGTCATTCAGAACATAATAAAAATGACGGAACATTTAGAGACTATAATAAAAAAGATGGAACATTCTTATTTTTAAGAAATAATGCATGGAAATTAATCAAATACTTGTTCCATGGGTAGACTAGAATTTTTCTCAGGATTATTCTTAAATATTCAATTACATTACTCATTTAACTTGGGAAAGAGTTCAGTATTATCATTTCTGTGGTTAGGAACGCTACAAAGTAATTCAAATAGACAGTGTTTTAAGATCTATGAATAAAAAAATTATTAAGTAACATCTTTAAAAATTATAAGCAAGTAATACACTAATATTGATAAACTCAGCCTTCTAGTGAGGAATTTCATTATTTCTTAAACATCAGTGTATCTTCCCAGGAGATTTTAGGATAGTAAATGAAAAGACAGCTTATTTTCAATAATGAAAGAAATATTTTCATTATTTTAGTTATTCATTCTAAGTTTTCCTTGAAAACAGATGTGTAGCATATTAAGAGTCATAGGATTTGAAAATTGTATTGGGTATAGGACTCCCTAGACATAGGCATGTTTAAATGATTTGCAAAATGATAAACATTTGAGTAGCCTCCTAAATAAATGAATATAAGGAATATCAACAAACAATATGGATTTATAGACATTTTAATAGTTCTTCTGAGTCCTTCTTCTTTCTTGAAGAAGTGAGAAGAAAGAGGAGAAAAATAGAGCAATGTATAATTCTACTTTGCAAAGCACAGGTGTTTCTTGGCTATAAAGACAAGTCAATATTGGGAATGAATTTAGTAAATCCTACAATGAAGCAATAATTTAATATTCAAATGGCCAGGGACGGTGTACTTGGCATAATAAAAGCCCACGTTGTTCCTAGTAGAGGAGATTATAGAAAGATAAGCTCTATAGTCTTGAACTCATCTAACTTCTGATAAATTCATACTCTTGTCCAGCACGATAATGATTAACATTTTAATAATTGTAGGTAATTCTTAACTGATTTAGTTATTAGTTTTTTGACAACCTTTTAAATTCTTATTCTACATTGTTGATTCA